ACCGTCCAGACTGTGTTTTGTCCTTCGTAGCAAGGTAGTTACTGTCCAAGCAAGGTAGCTACTGTCCAGGCTGTTTGTCGTTAATGAGGAGCTTGTTGAGGACATCACTACTGAAATGATGGAAGAAATTGAGTTTTACTCTAAGGAAGAGAGAGAAGGCTGAGGAAGATGAGAGAAAAGGGCTGCGGCATCCTAGGGTGTGCACAGTGGAACTGCATGGGGTGGAAGCAAACTACACACAAGTCTTGCAATGCATGTTGGGACCTAGCATGAACTTGATTGGGGTCTATGGCAACCTATGGCAACTGCATGGGGTGGAAGCAAACTACACACAAGTCTTGCACTGCATGTTGTGGGCCTAGATAATAACCACTGGTGTCAACAGTGGTTATTGGTTAATCAAACCTATAAAATAACCTATAACCAGTGGTTGATCAACCAATAACCATTAACCAGTACCCTAGTTTGACTGGTTGATCAACCATTAACCAATAACCAGTACCCTAGTTTGACTGGTTGATCAACCATTAACCAATAACCAGAACCCTAGTGACTGGTTAGCGAACCCTGGTATGCATGCAGCAAAAAGCCCAAATTTAGTTCCCTCTAATAAGCAATAGTAACTACCACTCTCAAAAGTTGAAAAGATAAAAACGGATCGAAGAGACAACCCCACACAACAGAACAGAGTCCATTCGTCCGCTCTAACTGCATAATAATCTCTTGAGAATTGTATCGAAAGAGAAAACCAATCATCCCAATTTGTTTGTGTTCTACCGGTAGCCAGCTAGCAAGGCAACAGGTCCGTTCCAGCGTTCCAGCAGTATGGATGGAAAATGCCCAAGGCGGTCTGCCACACACGAGGCTGCCACAGCCAGCCCCACGATTGATAAGAAAGCATGCAATACCACTACCAATGTAATGCTCCTGCAGATGGCAACAGAAATCAACGAAACTGCCAAAATGGAAAAGCTGACAAAAACAACACACCAAGAAGAGGCAACAGAACGAGTGCCACCAGGCAATACCCACCAACAAGGAGAAATAATCCAAACCACACTTCGTCGTACAAGCCAACTGCCATCCCAACCTGGAGCGTACATGGGAGCTCCAGGTGTGGCCTTGCTGCGTGCAACCACTCTCCAATTCTCCCTTGTGGGAGCAAGTTGTGCTCATGACCAAGCAAGTACGCTGGAAGAGACCCCAGTGTTACACACAGGTATGCGTCAAACCATCCAACAACAGCAGCAACAAGTCTTGGTGCCCGGTGCCTACTCCATGGCGGGCCCGGGAAATTCTAATTTAACTAATAATGACACAACAACCGAGCTGCCGGTAATCGACCACGTGATGGACCCGGCTCTATTTCCCAATCAAGCAAGGCAATCCGGCACTTCCATGGACCAATTGGCAGTGGCTAACCGAGTCATGGACGATCCAGAAGATTTAATGCACGCGGATCCAGTTCATTTGGAGGAACAAGAGCAAAGGGAACAAGCAACAAAAAAGCAGAGACAAACACTCCTCTTTAGTCTGTTTCTGGTTGTCTGCGCTGTGGCTGCCATTGTAGGGACTGTGGCTGGCACCGCTGGAAAGAAGAATTCAGTTGTTGTGTACCAAACACCATCTCCTATTGTCTTGGGCTCCATGGCTCCTTCTGAAATACCATCATCAGCCCCTACAGGAGTGCTGGACTTGCTTTTGGATAATCTATCCAATCAAACATTGGCTAGGATCAACAGTGGCAGTGAAACTCCTCAGTGGAGAGTATGGAATTGGCTTGCAAACCACCAAAACATCACATGGCTACCAGAATGGAGAAAGGAGCAGTTGTTCGCTCTTGCTACATTCTTCTATGCATTTGAGGGAGAAAAGTGGAATCCTCTGATAAAGGAGCGATGGATGGATGACATGGTGGGAGAGTGTGACTGGTTCTCCAATGGATTTGGTTATTTTGATTTTGACGGACAATACTTTGATTTGGATGTTCCTTGGCGATATTCATGCAACAGCCATGGCAACTTTACCTCTCTTTGGTTGGAAAACCTCCAGCTTTCTGGTTTGACTCCTTCTATTCCACCGGAGATCACTATGCTGAGCTCGTTGTCCCTTCTTCAGTTCAGTTCCAATGATATTGCAACATCAATTTCATCTCTGATTCCAGCAGAAGTGTATGAGATGACTGATTTGACGAGTTTTGGAATCTTTTTGGAACAAGTGACTGGCCAATTCCCAAGTGAGCTAGGACTACTCACTGCTTTGAAACAGTTGTATTTGATGGAAAATGAGCTAACTGGCCAGATCCCCTCTGAAATTGGAGAGCTAACTGACTTATTTGCCTTGCCGTTATGGAACAACCATTTCACTGGGCAAGTTCCTTCCGAACTTGGCAGACACACTAACATGTATTTCTTGGAGTTGTCCCTGAATCAGTTCACTGGGCCCCTTCCATCAGAGCTTGGAAGACTTCCTGGTGTGTCACACTTTGGGTGCAAAGATAATCAGTTCACTGGACCTGTCCCCTCTGAGTTTGGTCAGCTGCTTGGTTTGACATTCTTCAAATTTGATGGCAACCAGTTGACAGGACCTTTGCCATCAGAGCTTGGACTTTTGACCAATCTGAAGGCTTTGAATCTAACTGGCAACCTTGGCTTGTCTGGAACAATTCCAGAGGAGCTATGCTTCTTGCAGAATGTGTCTTGTTCTGTCTATGGAGATGATCATTGGTTCACTCAGTCCTGCCATATTGACTTTGATTGTACCTCTATTTTGTGTGGATGTGATTGTTCCTGTTCCAATTCTTCTTTGATGTAAAAAGGGAAATATAAGATGTTTTCTGTGCTGAGTTACACAACTATGAACAGATGACGCTAGCTAATTTTATTTGGATTGTTTGCTAGTAGCCATCAGGGGCGAGAAATTGAGGACCATTAGTCCAAGGGGGCCAAAGGGTTTGACTGTGCGGGATCCGCGGAGACAAATGGGTTGAAACATGATTGGCCGCTTAGCCGGCTTTCACAGAACCAGAAATCCAATGCCACCTTGATCAATGACCTCGTTTGGGATAACCAGAGGCCCAACCAACTTCGAACAAAAAAGTCTCCACAAAGCTATCACATAACTTGCACATATCCATCATTCGCATCAGTCCAAGACTTTGTTGTTGCCCTACCCCTCAGAAATTGCATCCAAAATGAGTTCCATTGCCGCTCCCAACGTTGTCGCCTCGTTTGCTTGTCGTGCCAATGCGGACTGCAACTTTGTCATTTACGAAGCCCTCCACGACGCGGCTTTTCTACACAGAGCTCTCCAAATGGCCAAGAAATTCAAGAAGACCAGTCACTCCACCACCAACAACAATGATCCCAACCGCAAACCAAAGAATCCTGGCAAGGAATCCCTTCGTGGACGACGACAAAGTGTCAAGCACTTTTGTCAAACCGATGGCAATGATGATGACTTCCTGCAGCGATATCACTGTGGAGACACTAGTATTGATCCCAACAATAACAACCAGAAGATTCAAGTCTGCCATTTCAATGGAGTCGACTTTACAACCATGTGTGTTCGACCGCACAGTGCTCTCTTTCGCAATCTTCATGCTCGCGACTATTGTGGGCCTTGCAGTATTATTGACACGGAAGGTGGTGGTGATGACGCCATGATTCATTGGCACGGTAAAAAACCCTCCATGGGAATGGGAGTCCCTCAACCCAGACAAAAGACGGAGCAGAGACAGCGGCCTCGCAAGCCAAGGCTTGTCCCCATGGGAGTTGTGCAAGTGCTGGACGACAACAATGACATGGATCTGAACTAACTACGGTAGCAAGCGGTCTGATTGATACATGTCGTCGTCGCCTTCGAAAGACGCGCCTTCGAAAGACGAGGATGAGTTTATCGTCTTCGACGAGACGAGGAAACGAATGAAGCGGAATGAGATTGGCATTGGTTGGAGAGCTTCTTTCCTCCGTGAAACAATACACCGGCACACTCCTCTGTGATTGTGGAGAGCTTGAATCATGATATAGCTGATTACCCAGTTGCTCCTTTAGATTCCTTCAATGTTCTGAGCTTTTGGTTTGCTGAATGGCTTTCTCAAATATTAAACACACTACTTGCCATGAAGACTACCTAACCACCACTGAGTACTCCATGCACAGGGCGGTTGTTGAACTTTGGTCTTCTACCGTAGCCATAGTTGGTCAACTTTCCAAAGAAAAGGAGCTGAAAAGGTTACTTTGCGGTGAAGATTGTAGTATGTAATGCAGTGTAATGCTAAAAGGGGCTTCGAACACCTTCTAACTAAAAGGTGAGGAGAGCTTGAGGAGTGAGCATGGGGTGCAGAGGAGAAGGGCAGTCAAAACAAGAATGAGAGGTGAGACGCTTCTGGTGCGGTCAAAGCGTGCCATGCATTCTTTGCAATTCCAGGGTGTTGCGGGGAATGAGCGTTTGAAGCACTTTCTTTTTTGGGAAAATGCTGGTTTTTAGGTGATTTGCTATTTTGAGTCCTGCTAGTAGCAATCTTTCAGATATTAATTTTCATAAGATTCTGGTGGTACCAGAGATTAATCTCAATAGGTAACTAAAATCGACCCTGAATGTAAACAGCTCTGTCGGCATAGAGGTGCAAAGTTAGGGTTACCATAACCAACATTGGATCGTCAGATCGTCATAGTTTTTAAAATTGACGTCAGTCATCAAATTTTGTGGCACTCTCAAAACTGACATGGAATCGGGTCATCGGGTCATCGGGTCGTAGTCTACTGAAAGGGCCGGAAATCACGATTTTATGAATCCAACCAAATTGATCAATTCGAAACCTAAATAAAGCTAAATATATATTAAAATTGAAGCAAAATTACTATGGTAAATAACTAGTAAATCAAGCCGAAACCAAAATATAGGATCGAAACCTCAATATAAAACCCAAACCTAATATAAAATCGAAACACAAGTATAAATCGGAATTTGGTGTAAATCTCCATTTCGGGCCCTTTCACTGTAAAGGTCCAGTAAAAGGACGCGTGATGTGCCAGAACAATAATAAGCCAGAAAACTGCCACAATGACCTTCCGATGTGGCCACCGGCACTGCAGACAACCCTGAGTCTTTTGTTCAGTTCTCAGAGTATCTTCATAGCATTGATACGAATCTTTTACGGGAGGTGGGCACCATGACATCCCGTTCTGCCATCCTCCGCACTTCTAGCGCCAACAGTAGCATAGACGGCACTCGAGTTGCCAATGGTCAACATGTGGTTCCTCCAGGAATTTCCGTCCTTGAGTTTTTCGACAATGGCGCGACAGAATTGGCTATGTTAGGCTCCGGTCAAGCCCGCAACTTTCTCACGGAAAAGGATGCCTTGGCCGTCTTTCGCAACTTCGTCGCGGCTCTGACTAAGAAGGCAAGATCCAGTGGCCAGAGGGGCAAAAAACTCTGGGTTCCAAACAAGATGGTGGCTGTGGTGCTCGAGTTTCGGCCTCAATTTGAAGCCAAGAAAGTAGACCTGGATCTTTGCATATTCACTTCCGAGTGTGGTCAATACCATTGGTTTTGGTTTGAATTTCTGGACTCCAATAGTGCGGTAACCAAGGAATACAAGTCTCCTTATTGTGTTAACAACTTCAAGCTTGTCCTCAAGGGTGCTACCATGATTCCCCCCGAAGGTGTCGCCGTTGCGGAACTGACCGGTTTTGATGGCCTCAGAGGAACCATTCCCGCGGATGAAGACCTCACGGCGCTATTGGAACCCAAGGGATTGATGAAATGCTACAATGACCTAGTCCAAGATCTCCTAGTGACCTCCAAGAGTAAGACGCTCACCTTTCTCGAAGAATGGAAGACAAGCGGAGTGGACCAAGTGATTCAAGAGAACGGCCATGCGGAAATCTTTGGCTCCCGGAACATGGAGCTTGTAGTCTGCATGGCGGCGAAAAAGTGGATCTGCTTTATTGATACAACCGTCGCTCCTGACTTTGTTCCTCCAGAGGCGGTTTCGGATGCCCGTCGTGAATCCGTTGCCAAGAGCACCATTGCAGCAGCCGAAGCCGCGGGAATTGCTGTGGAAGACTTGGTCGTCGATGGTGTCATCCAGCTAGAGTCGACCTGTCCCGAGGAAGTGGCGAGTCTGTTGGAAAAGAAGGACCTCATGGACGTGTATCCTCAATTGGATCTTGCCATCTCGGAGGCTCAATCCATTCGTAACTTTGTGGACGTTTGGCGCCTCGCGGCTGCGGGTGTAGTCCCATTTCCCATTTTAGCCAATCTCAAGGAAGGCATGCTGGCCAAGGGTGTCAAGATGATTCTCTGCGAAAGTGTTGGCAGCATGGGTCGGAATCACTGGCTCGAATTCATTGATCTAGATGTTTACCCCAACTATTCCAATCCATTCGACATTACCGAAACGGCAAGTGTGTTCACGAAAAAGGAAGAGGAAGTCGATCGAAAAGCAACCACCATCGGAGGTGGGTGGTACACGGTTCCTCTTACGGGCGTGGCAGTCGAAGAGCTGAGCGGGGTCAAGAAGATTTCAGATCAGTGCCCACACGAGGTCGAATCGCTGCTCGTGAAGAATGGGGCAATGCCAGTCTACGATGCCTTTATTAATGCCATTGTCAAGTCCAAAACGACCCGAAACTGGGCCGATTCATGGAGCTCCCTTGAGATCAGCACCATTCTTGCCGAATACAAAGACCAATTCTTGTCCAGGGGACTCAAAGTAGTCTTGTGCAAAATCAAACCAGACAGTGGCAACTCGTTGCGTTGGTTTGAGTTTATAGACATCAATGAACAACCCGGTTGGGTCCCCCAATTTGACGTTCTGTCCCTGGACGGAGGCACCGTGTTGGCAACAAATACAAACAGTTTATCCTTTCCAAAAGGAGTGGCCGTGGAGGCCATTATGGACCGCAAGGTACGTTAGTATGTTTGCGATGGAGTCTTTGTCGGGCGATTTCAACCAGCTAAATCAAGTGTCTGACTGTCCTGTTCCTGAAGCACGTAATGGAGAGAGTCCCACCTCCTGTCAAGGCCATGATGGAGAACAAGGGGTGCATGGACTTGTACATGGCCATGATTGCGATTCTGTGCGAATGTGCTGGTTCTGGAGACGAAATTGATGCGACCTGGAGCAAAACACACATGAGCGACATTACTCAAACGATTGGACCCAAGTTCCAAGCAAAGGGGGGTAAGCATTGACCATATACAATTCTGCCTCCTTTGCGAACAATCGATTGCAGCATTAGTGAATGTTCAAGCAGCTAACCTAAGTTGTTTTCTGATTTCGCACAAACAGTGTCGTTGTTCCTTTCTGTCCTTGAAGAGGATGTTAATGAAAACGGTCAACAAGTGAAGAAGCCGTTTATGTGGGTTGAGTTTGTGGACAGGGAAATGCAACCTAACTATACGGCTCAACGAGGGATTGAGATGACCAAGTTACCGTACACAGGAATGACCAACACAGAGGCTGCTTTCTTGGCCGGCTCTTTCGCGTTGCAGCTGGGAATCACGGTAGCCTTGCATCTATTATAGTCGGTGAATACGGTAGCTTTTTGTGCCAGACGTCATGGCCGTATGAAACATCCGATTGACTTGAAGAATGTGGAAACAACTGGCTGTGCCTTGACTCCCGGGTCGCCGTCAAGCACTTCTTGTCTGAATCGGTTAAGATTTTGAGCTTTTCTTTTTTTGGTCTCTCGCCGTACATTAGTAGAGTAGCTGTAGCATGATGGGCCAAGGTAGGCCCAAGTCAGAAAACGCTGTGTCACGACCGGTAGTTCGTTGCTTGGGATCCATGAACTTTGGATGACCGAAAGGATCTCGAGGGAACCCAGGGAATCTCTGCAAATCAAACAAGCTGCCAAGAGAAGGGCCACATCAGAGGTCACTACGGTAACGCAACGAAAAAGAATGCCAACCCAGATCGCTCAGGTACGGCAGAATACCAAGACTCGCTCTCTAGGTAGATATCGAAGCAGTTTTCAAGCCAAAGAAAGGCACCACGGGGGCAGATCGGATGCCCTGATCTTCTCAGTTATAGTTTCTACGGCTTGTGAATCGGTCACAAACCATCGTATGTGCCTCCGAGGCTCACGTGTTCCAGCGACTCGACTGTCAAGGCATTGGGATGATTGTGGCGCCCTCGACCTCTACCGCTAGTCGAACCATGCCCTCTCCCACATCGCACAATACCACTGACCGCTCAACGATGATGCGGCGGTCAAGCATGATGTAGCCTCGGCAATTGTGGTGATGTTTTTCATGTGAACGGCGGACATGTTGACATGAGAGGGTTGGAGACGATGACGGTGGCGGAAGGCCCTTGAAGGGTCTGGAAACGAGAGAAAGTGGATTGTCGGTACGTATGGAAATTGCTGCTTGGTTCGGGGCAAACCGTACGTGACATGGTCCTGCACCATGCCGTCATCACTCTCGTTCTTGCCGGTGCTGCCATCTGCGTCCATGGATTCTCCTGTTGGTTGGCTTCGTTCGGCTGCTCCGTGTCAATCAAGACAAGGTCTACCCAAGTCAGAAAGGCGACTGGTCAATGGATGCTGCTATGCTTATGAAGTACTAGCTAGTACATGTACGACTACAACTACTATTGAGAATGAAGCCATGATTTTGTTTGTAAAGATTGTCTACTATGTGTTATTGCTCTATGTTTATGTTTCGTTGTATTTTTAAAGATTGTAGCATCAACAATGATAGAGGTTGGTTGTCGGGTGTCACGGGTATTAACTTTGGACTTTCGTCGCGTGGAGGACGTTCGGACAAGCACTCTGCAATAGAGGCTGCCTAGCACAGGAACCACAAACCTGGCTACCTTCGATGTGACCCTTCAATTGAACCAACTGTATTCATCTCCGCAAAATTGTTGTATAGCCCTGCACCCCACCAGATGCTTGCTCGTTGTGTATTGTATTGTGTTAGTCCCCGCAATCGGTCGTCGTCGACCACTTACCTGTTGTCCTTAGACTGGAATGTACCGGTCAGGCTTTCTGACTTGCCGTCCAGAAAGAGTTGTTGTTGTTGTCTGAACTGTTGTTTGCTGCTGTGTGTCTGTCACAGGTTGTGTCGTCGTCTTCTTCTTCTTGCCTTTCGCCTTTGGCTTTGTCGAGCGTTTCTTGGTGGCCGCGCGTCTACATGTATTATTTCTAGGTTGCTCTGCCACTCGCCGTGGCTTCATTTGTTCTGCGATTCTCTGAGATGCAATAGCCGCCATGCGTCTCTTTGATCGTCGCAAAGGTGATTGTGATGTGTCCACATTGTCCTCCACATCGACTCGGTTGTCGACCAGTGGTTCATCAGCATCAACTTGTTGTTGTTCCTCGACCAGTGGTTCTTCAGCTACCACTTGGCCAGTCACGAATTCGAAATCCGTATCGTCCGAGACAATGCCTGCCTCCAATCGTAGTGTCTTGTGCCGCCGCATGAATTCCTTGACAAGGTCTCCACCATCCTTCATCAAGGCTGCGAGAATGTTGCTGGGTACTACTCCAAGTAGCACACCATTCATCATTTGCATCTCCAATACAAATGGTTGCTGTCCATGCACACTGATCTTGAAGTGTTTCACATGCCACTTTTGAACGTATGGGACCACTGCTGTGCATGTGGGTACCACCGCTGCTTCGCAGGTGATTGTGGCATCGGATGCCATCTTGTCGTCGTCGACGGTCGAGACTGTTTCTATTGTCTCAACGTCTTTAGTTGTTGTTGTTGGTTGTTGTTCTACTACTAAGGGTTCTGCATCTTCCATGCAGACTTCCTTGACCTTGCGATAGACAAATCGTCGTTTGGCAATCTGTTCTCGCGTATTCAAGGTGCAAATTTCGTCGTCAGCATTGCGCTGAATTCCTCCGTGATGCAAGTGGCACATGGCGAGTTCGAACATGTAGGTGTTCTTTTCGTTGACCATGAACCAGTGGGCGACTTGCTTGTCGTTTCCTTTCTTCGCCTGGATGAAACGAACAAGTCCCTCGAGGTCTTGATGCACGGCATCAATTTGAATGTACAGTTTGGCTTTTTGTAGGTACGCTTTGTCACTTTGGAACCATTGGTTGTTGGTGATCCATTTGGCCACTTGTTGGTATCCGTACTCTTGAATCAACTGCACGAGATCCAAGACGCGTTCGTGGGGTGTCTGTGTGCCGACGGAAATGAATTGTTGTTGGGCTTCCTGCCAGAATTCGAATCGGGCCTGTGGCACATGTTTGTTCATGTCTCGATAGACACGACGGTTCTCAGCTTGTTCGCTCTTGTCAGAAGAGTACCCCACTACAGTGTTGACGGGAGCAAAGGATAAACAGTTTCCATTGCTCCGTTCGGTGTCTTGACCGTAATGGGTCTTCCAGCGAGCGTTGGCTGAATGACTGGGTTTGATGCGACAACCTTTGGGCCGGTGCTGGTTGTTGTCGTATCCGTAGTGACCATGCTGATCCGAAGGAACCAGGGAAAGGTCGTAGGCACCTAGGTAGCGACCGTGCTGCTGGAATTCCACATCAGGATGCATTCCGTGCAACAGTGCCGCTGTTTCGACGACATCTTTGTCCAACTCGTCCAGTTGGAATGTTGGGATTTCCTCTGCCACAGGAACATCCTTGTCGTTGCTGTTGTTGTTGCCCGTCATCTCCTTGGCAACCTGGAGAACGGGGGTCTTCTTGGTGTTGCTGTTGTTGTTGTCGGTGGTCATGGACCACGAGAGCAGCTTGATGATAGAAGAAGAGAACTTCATTTTGCAATTGGTAGGTATTGAATAGAAGATTGATAGAAAGTAGACTTGAATAAGGTCTGGGGGGGTTGATCTGGCCTTGGCTTATCAACAATCGCGAAAGTCTTCCTTGTTCGGTTGGGTATGCAACTCTAGCAATCCGGTTGAACAAAAAAGTGAGCTCATCATGGTGACCTCCAAATTGGGATGACAGATTCTGCCAGATGTTTGGGGTGACAGATTCTGCCAGATGAAAAATGACATGTGATGAGACGAGACTGAGCCACTGATGAGCACTGATTTCATGCTCTGTACTACCAAAGAACACCCAACAAGACACTTCCTGGGCCTCTCCGAGTAAGGCATAGCATAGACGCGACCTTGGTGCTTGGTGGTTGTTGTCTTCCTTCTTGATGGGGTGCTCTCATTGATGTCGGTCGGTCACTGACGTTTGTCCCTGCGTTGACAGAACCAGACGGAAATGACTCGATGCGATACCCACGACTGAAGTATAGATTTAACATAATACACGACTGGATGATACCGCCGTCCAAGGAAGCAGAGCGACACGATAATTTCCACGACTGGGTTTTCCAATTTTAATAACTTCCTCGCTTTGGATTCACGTTGTGGCTGAACGAACTTTGACCAACCCTCTACCGTACGGTACCGACACAAGTCAGTCAACCAAGCTGACAGGTCTACATCAGATCTCATTATTGGTACGACTTGGATGCGATGAACGGGGGGTTTCGTGTAGGTGTAATGCATGGAACGATCTCCTACAAGTCAAACATGCTGCCAGGGCTACCGTACCGTACCGTACCGTACATCAGAGCTCATTATTATGGCATTGCCAAGCCCGATCACTCAGGCAGGTACAGTACCGTAGTAAGATCACTACGTACTTATTAGCTCCGACCATCTCGAACTGTTGCATGCCGTTGGAGAGCGGATGCGCTAATAGATTTCCACGGCGTGTTGGTTCTTGCAAAAAGATCGTGGAGCTATTTTTTTCAAACTGAAACCGTTTGTTCGGACGATGCCCTCAAAACCGATCCTCTCACTTTTCCCCCCTTCCAAAAGCGGCAAATCCATGCAGTCAATGGGAGCAAGCTGATCGAGAGAGAACAACAACAACAAGCAACAACAGAGACGACATTGCCCGAAGCAATCCGACTTGACCAAGTGTAGAGAGCTGTGCTAGCTAGCTAGTAGCCAGCCATGGCGTCTTCTCCACCAGGGAGCAAGAAACGCTCCAGCAGCAGCAGTTCGAGCCACGACGCTGTCGAAGAGACTCTCCAAAGAACCTCTTCCTCGAATAGTACTGGTAGTAGCAGCACATCCTCCATCAGTAACAAGCGCCCGAAGCATGACAACAGCCTAGCGAGCAACAGCAAGAAAGGTGGTCAAAATGTCCGCGTAGTGGCCCGCGTTCGTCCCTTGTCTAGCAAGGAAGTAAACGAATCTTCCAAAGAAGCCATTGGTGTGGTGCCCAGTTTGGATCGTCCCACCAGCGTCAGTGTCAATATGAACCTCGGAGGTCGCAGTAATAGCAGCAATAGTAGTAGCAATTCGCCCAAGCTATTTGAGTACGATGGATCCTTTGGCCCGGCCACGACGCAACAAGAAGTCTACGAGCACACTGTAGGAGACATGATCCGCACCAACATTTTCAAGGGATTCAATGTCACCGTCATGGCATATGGACAGACGGGGTCTGGAAAAGTAAGTGACCACAGCACAGCACAGAATAGAAACGAATTTCCATACAACAACATGTTATGTCTAACCCAGCGAGTTTTCTTTCTTTGTTTCATCCTGAGTAGACGTTCACCATGGGAACCGAAGGTGGAGCCACGGATGCCGAAATGACCATGGAAGAAGACACGACAACCCAAAAACCCACTGCAGCACTAGAACCACCCTCTGATTCCGACGGCATCATTCCTCGCGCTGTCTACGATTTATTTGAGGAACGACAATCCATGAAACAGGACCGTGTCACTATTGAAATGAGCTACCTGGAAATCTACAATGAGGAAGCCCTCGATTTGCTCGTCGAACGATCGGAAGATGGTACGACCAATACACTTCAAATTCGAGACAGTCGCACGGAAGGAGTCGTTGTTCAGAATTTGTCGACCAGAATCGTCACATCGCCCAAGGAAGTGGCCGCACTCATGGCCCAGGGGTCGAGTCGTCGTGCCACGGCATCCACCGCCATGAATGCCGCGTCCAGTCGATCCCATGCCATTTGTACTTTGTATGTTACCATTGCAGCCTCGGAGGAAACGGACGAAGCAGAAGCCGCCGCCGAAATGAGAGCCAAATTGACACTGGTCGATTTGGCGGGTTCCGAACGCATCAAACGCACAGGCGCCGAAGGTAATCGCATGAAGGAAGGAATCAATATCAACAAGGGTCTCTTTGTTCTGGGACAGTGTGTCAGTGCGCTTTCCGAATTGGGACAAAAAGGCAAATCCGCATCTTCGGCATTCATCCCCTACCGTGACTCCAAATTGACCCGTCTGTTGCAAGATTCTTTAGGCGGCAACTCCAAAACCATCATGGTGGCATGCATTTCCCCGGCCGATTCCAATGTGGAAGAATCCGTCAATACACTCCGCTATGCCAGTCGAACACGCAACATTCAAAACTCGGCCGTCCGTAATGTGGTGGCATCCAATGTCCTCAGTGTGGCCGAAGCGGCCGCCTTGAAACGCGAAAATGAGTCGCTCAAACAACAACTCGCCGAAACGCAAGCACAATTGAGAGCTGCTGTAGTCATGTCGTCGTCGACTGTTGTTGTTTCCAATTCGACCAGCAATGACGAGTCTTTGAAACAACAACTCGCCGAAACGCAAGCACAATTGAAGGCCAGTAGGGCTGCCTTAGTGATGGCGTCGAGCGTTGTTTCCAATTCGACCAGCAATGACACGACGCAGTCCAAAGACACGGCGGCAGAAACGGACCCATCCACCGGAGCGACAACTGGTACGGGTGAGGGCCCCACCAAGGCGTTTACGGTTCGAGGCATGGATATGAGCAAGCTGGACAAGATTCAACAACTACAATCTACCATTTCCTCGTTGGAGTCTCAAGTGGAAGCTCTCGAAGGTCAGCAGCAATCCTCCGCGGACGATGCACTAGAAGCGTCTCTCCGGGCCGACAAGTGGCAGATGCGTTGCGAGAACATTCTGGCGGCTGCCAAGCAACAAAACGTGACTTTGGACAATCTGGACGGTGAAAATAGTAATGAGACGGACACCAATACTATGGATCTGGTGGCAGAGCTACGAAAGGAAATTGCCAGTCTCAAGTCGGATCTGCATGATGCATTGGCCGATGCAGCCGTGGCCCGTGCCACCGCCGCGGCCGTGGTTGCCAACAGTGGAGACCTGTCCTTTAGTGCAGAGAGCATGGATTCCTGCGACGATGATACTGTCATGATGGACCCAGAGGCGGACAAGGAAACCAAACTAGCCTTGACAGCGGAGCTCGTTGCGGTCAGTGGTGGAATCGAAGCAAAGGAAGCCATGGCGATTCAAATCAATAGAGAGAGGGAATGCATGGAGGCCATGCGACACCATTTCGAAAATGCCGTCAAGTCGTTGCAAGAGGAAGTCGAAGTGCTAGCTGCCGAACGTTCCACATTGATCGAGAAAGTTGGCGACGGTAGCACAAAGATCAACGGGGACGACACGAAACGCATGAGGAAGCGAGTCGACGAACTGGAGGCCAGGATCAAGGACCTCCGACAACAAACGGCCGAACACAAGAAGAGTCTTCGTTTGCGGGAAGCCGCCGAAAAGAAATGCGCTCAATTGGCAAAAGAGATTCAAAACGACAAGAGGCGTCGTGTAGTTTTGCAAAAGCAACTGAAAGAGCAAGCCAGCGAACGTCGTTCCGAGAAAATGGCCGCCAAGAAGGAAGCCGCCAAATTCCTCCGAGACAGCAATAAGCTCAAAGCAGAGCTCCAAAAGGTCAAGGACGCAGCCGCCAAGCAGGCTGCCGTACTTCGTCGAAAAGCTACAGAGGCGATGCAGCGTCAAAAGCGAGAGACCGAATTGAAGGCCAAGAAGGACAAACTCAAGGAAGAACGACAACATCTGGCCACAATGCGATCCAATGCAAAGGCAAAACAGTCTTCCGATTCTGACAAGTCAGCTTCGGCGTCGCAGCAGGAAGTTTCCAACGAAAACCTGAGTGACGAAAGACAAGACGAACTTACCTCCTGGCTCGACAACGAAATTGATGCGGCAACGGCCTTTGGGGGCATCCACGATGAAATCAAAAAGCAAAAGCAGCTGTTGAGCGGCGCCACTGCTCGCAAGCTCAAGCTACAACAACGATCCAGCTTCAGTCGCAGTAGTGGAAACATCGCTGTTGATCCACCCAGCTCGTTTCCCCAGCTCCAAGCCATTGACGAAGAGATTGAGATGAGATCAAACCTTCTCGAGAAACTTGAGCAGAACTTGCAAGAGCTGTCTAAGCCTTCCGTCTCCTCGCCTCTGGTCAAGGGAGTGGGTAGCAGCTCTTCTGGTATCATCAACAACAGACAACTGAACAGCCTGTCACAATTAGAGACCAAGACAGTATTTGTGAACTGCTTTGAACGTGTAATTGAGCTTCGGAATAAGCTCGAATCCGCGGAAGCAAGGCGTGAGCACAACACGACAGTGGCAGTGAACTCAGCGCTGGCCAAACAACGTCGTACTCACGAGGAGGAAATCATGACGCTAAAGATGGAGCACTCCGAAGCCATGATGAATCTCCTCAATTCCACAAAGGGATCCATCGAGCAAACTGTCCGTCTCAACACTCTGAACAAGGTTGTCGACGACGAGGACTTCCAGGCCACCGTGGAAGACATGCTTAGTGGCTACTTGGAGGGATGTAACAAGGTTAGTGAGAATGTGCAAGTCGAGCTACGAGACGTCAAGCAAGCCCACGAAGGAATGAAGACGATGGTGGAAGCTGTGGCTTCCGATATCATTCAAAAGAGCAAAACTCCCGCAAAGAAGAAAAAGAAGGTAGTGAAGCAGCGCAACTCTACCGATAGTATGCTTGAAGAAATCCAGATGCTCGAGCAGGACGAAGCTGAAGAGGAAGACAACAGCGATGACAGTGACTGGAGCCCCAGCCGGCACAAAACTCCTGGACCAAAACGTCGTAGTCGAAGATCGGGCGACTCACCCTCCAAAGACACGATGCAACCACTAGGCATCAAGACGGAAGCAGATGTCACTACAATTGCAATGGACACGACAATGGAGCCATCCCTGGAGGACTCAGCTCTTTTTGACGATGCCAAGGACTCTGCGGGTGCAAAACCTGAGTGGTCTGCTCTTCTTGATGATGCCAATATGGAGTCTGCGGATGCAGCCCCTGAGGAGTCTGCTCTTCTCGATAATGCCAATATGGAGTCTGTGGATGCGCCTTCTGTCCAGACTGGAGCCAAAAGCAACAATTCGCAAGACGACAGCCATGTGGAAAGCGAGTCAAAGCCTGCCGCCGTCGAGGAAGTGGGCATCAAGCAGGAAGTGCAATCCAAGACAGAGGACGAGTGCGGCGGCGAAGCTGTCGGCATCAAAGCAGCGGAGACACCAAAACAGGAGGAAGATGGCGTCCATTCGGAAGCAGAGTTGAAGCCAGCTGCAGCTGTAGGCATCAAACCAGTGGAGACACCAAAACAGGAGGAAGATGGCGTCCATTCGGAAGCAGAGTTGAAGCCAGCTGCAGCTCCAAAAGAAGGAACTGGGCTTGTGGAGACGCTGTTGCAGCGTAACTACGAAAAGCACAAAGTCAGAGAACTCAAGGATATGCTCCGGGCTCGTGGCTTGACGGTTTCTGGAAACAAGTCGGACCTGATCTCTCGTTTGCGAGACAACGACAAGGAAGAGGCGGGTAGCGGCAATGACGGGGCTCCCAGCAACAGCGTCAAGTTTTCCAATGGTACAAAGGGCGAGGCTCCGGCCACTCGTCGTTCTACCCGTGCTCGTGGCGCTCTCCAGCCCAAAGACTTCAACAAAGGACCCGGCGCGAATAATACGAAGCCGAAGGCCAAAGCCATGTTGCCAGAGACACCTCCTCAGAGTACGCATAAGGGTGGTGGTTGGAGCACCAAAAAGACGGCATCGGTTCGCCGCAGCACTGTTTTTGAGCGTCCCTCAACATCCCTCAGTGCGCCTTCTTCCGAAGCAGAAGAAAGTCCCGTCAATGACAAAGAGAATGACGAAAATAAGGCCGTCGCAGCTGGAAGCAAGGGGAAGACTACGAAGAGAAGTGGAACTCGTCGCAACTTGGGATTGCAGCTCACTAGCGCTGCTGCTGCACCGTCGAAGAAAACTGACCGTTGGCTGCTAGAGAAAGAGCGTGGTTTCATCCCCTAGAGTGCAGTGGAAACATTACAAAACTATAGCAAAGAACTATGTATGCATACCGGGATGTGTTGCTTTTCTGGTAGATAGTGATTCGTATGGAGCTACCAGGCATGATTCGATTCGATTCTGATCTGTTCGTCCTCTTGATTTCAAGAGGCTAGCTAGGTTTGTACGGTAGAAAAACGAATGGCGTCGTGTAGACTAGACTACCCAACCAAAATTTCTGCAATTCTACTAGCTAGTTTTGTTTGTTTGTTGCGCAAGATAAATGCTTGCACGTATGTAATAAAGCATGCAATACAACCATGGACATCCAAAAATAAATAAACAGGCACGTAAACTATTGGAACGCAACCTCTCTCTCGTCGCAGATTCTTCAAGCAAGAATCCCACCACCCAGCATCCCCTACCTTGGTTGTTTCTTCCTGTTGTTGACATTTCTGCTTTTTGTTTGCGTCACACAAGGGACGAAAGAAAGTGCAAGAGAGAACAAGGACCATCCTTCCTGTGACGTCTTGCTTGGTCTGCAGCCTCCTGAGTTCGTTTATTTAGTACGCATCAAAGATGGACTTTCTTCGCGTAAACACTTCCTGAGTTCCCCAATCGACCATGATTCGGAACCCGAGTTTGCCCGCTTCTTCACTGGGCTTGAGTCCAACGTTGACACAATCCAACAAATTGGCCGTTCGGGCTTTGGCCAAATACGATCGTGGGGGCATAATGGCTACATTTCCCGGTGCCATCTTGTTGAATCCACGGGTGGCCACGACCAAATGAGATCGGAGTGGCGGTCCTCCCATTTCGGCACTTTTATTGCTGCTTGTGGGTTCACACGCCAACACAGTCAAGGATACGCGTTTCATGTACGCCTTTTGTTCCGATTCGGGCCAATCGATTTGAAGTTTTCGTCTCCAATTGTAGGAAAAGTTGACGCCCATGTTTTCAATATCGTCCAACCGGCCAATATCATTGCAGACCATGTGTACGTGGGTATTGTCATTGTCGCCCAATTCGATAATGGTGTACTTGTCTCGATCCCACGGATCGAGATCGGAATAATCCGACAAGAATCCCTCCAAGAGACATGCGGTAGGCGCATCGTCGTCGGTTTCGGATTCTCGATAGGCGACCCGGACAAAAAACTCTAGCGCGGGTGGTGGTTCGTCGCCATTGTCGTATCCCAAAAAGTCGTTTCGGAAATCTTCGCGACTGTACAATTTGTCGGGCCAAGGATATTGTTTTTGAATGTGCGCCCGTGGATTGTAATGATACTTGGCGGATTCTTCCATGCGTTGGGCATATTTGGATGCCAAGACGAACCGAATGCTGCGTTCTCGGGCATTGGAATCAATGGAATTGCTCGAGAAAGGATTGGACATGTCGAGGTATTTCCATTGTGCGATAAAGGCAGGTGCCTTGATGCACGAGGGCATGACGAGTTCCAATTTCCAGAGTGCTTCTTCGTCTAGAAACGAAACCAAATGTGCCAATAGATTCGTGTTTGTAAACGAGAGGAATGGAGATACCCTGACTTGCAGATCTTCCACTTGGTTCTTTTTGGCTTCAATCTTGTCCTTGAGAACCTCCTGAACCTCCAGCAAGTGCTCTAGATCCATCTGAGCTGTCTTGAGGGTATCCAAGTCATCCATTATCTTCCCATTGGGAGTTTCTGGAACCTTGCAGACAGTGCCCAGCAGGTCTTGCACTACCTTGCTGGCATCAAAATTGCCATTGGTCTTCGTAGACGCCATGGCTACCAGTATTCCTAGATACTAATAGTATACTGCTTGCAGATTGCAGATTGGTGGATATAGCTCTGTCAGGTGTTGATTGAGGTGCTGTGTCCAAAGCTACACTAGCTGTATAGTGACGCCTCTCTAGCCTCGAATGTGGACTAAATAATTGTCACTGACCACAATGAACCTTGAAAAAGGAAGCCTGGACTACTCACTTGCTGCGATGAACAGTGTTCTGGTTGATGATGAAGACGAGGAGAAAAGATCTCGATACAGTAGCTACTAGGGTATACAGACTAGCTAGCTTTGGCCGTCCTCAGCTCAGTCTCTCGCAATGGCGTCGACTGACTGTCAACAACGGGCGCTGGCTAGGACAAGGTAGGGCTTGATTGTGTCACACAACTTGAAAGAAACTCTTTGGGCCAACAGCACAGATACAACCACCGACACAAGAAACAGAAGTAAGTGATGAAGGGCTACAAAAGATCCCCACACACCGAAACTGGACCCAGTAACTATGCAGGGTTGGCACGAAATGTCCCCAAATATGACGTCACTCAAGGAAGACAGCTTTGAACGGGTAGTTGATGTAAATATAGGGTTAAAGAGCTGTAGACTCCAGATATTTGTATTTACTGTTTGCTTTACCACAGCTTCCTGATTCAATCCAAGAATCTTTCGCTCTAAAAATTTACGGTACCAATTCACCATGACCTGGCTTGAGGAACTGCTTCTCTGCCCCGGCACCAGTGTAGCAATGTGCAGCATGACTAATCCGCCAATGTGACCAAGCACCCTTGCAACGGGCGGCTGGTCCCTATTCGGTAGCCTAGAGATATACCTTCGCTGTGGCTGGCTAGCTAGCTCGCTAGTAGTCTACTAGAAGTAGAAGCAGCAGGAAAATACTGTGCAGGAAACCTTTGTCGTTTGTGCTGCTTCCTCCTGGTTGGACGTTGGCTGCGCGGCCAGTCAGAGTCTTCACGAGAATTTTGCAACTGACATACAAACACGGAAGAGAAAATTGGTGACGGAATGTTGGAGTTGCACATTCCGTCCGCTTGCTTCTCACCGTCATGCTTGAGATACTGTACTATGCAACGACTGCAGCAATGAATCAATAGTAGTGTCCTCGAACGCACAAGGCAAGAAGATTTCATCTTTCGGATCCATATTAGGTACGTCTAGGCTAGTAACGTTCCAACCTTGCATTCTCTTCGATGAAAACGCGATCTCAGCTACATGTTGCTTGCGCCTACTAACATCTAAAGATCCTTCAACCATGATCATTCACGAAAGAAAACAAGAAACTCGCGGCAATAAACGATGCCTTCCACAGTGCAGTTCTACGTTTCGCAACATCTTTAGGCGTTCGGTGGTACTGAGCAAGCGACGCTTCGTTAAACGAGCTCTAGCCTCTCTCGCTGGCTACTAGCTATACCGGTAGTGAGTTGACTGAAAGCGCCCCATCAATACGTTTTTCAGATTACTATAGTTTTATCTGTTGTCCCGTACCAGGTACACATCAAGAGATGGCGGTGACAACATCTTGCTTTTGGGTTAGAATTACTAAGAATCACTGCCACGGAGTCTTCGGCTATAGTAGTGAAAGTCAAAGATGCGCACATTCATCACCTGCCCACCACTCTGGATCATGTAAATGGAGACTGGAAATCCTCTTGTTGGGTCATATGAAACCTGAATGCTTCGTGCTCCACTATCCATGTGTGTTTGTATGAAACCGAACCAGCTCCCCAATGTGACTGGCTTTAGCCAAGTAATTGGTTGGTTGTTGCCATCCACATAGGAGACAACACCCCCACCACGAACTTGTGTTGACAATGGGTAGACAGCAGAGGTATCACCGAATACTTGATGCTTGTAATCGTAATTAATGATTCCCATGCTCTCCCACTTTGCCCTTTCTCTGTTGAGATCATTTTGCACTTGCTGGCGGTTGTAGGCCAGCACAACCGGCGTGGCAAGCCACAATGCAAACAGGAGAGAGATGATTCCAGAAGTTTTCATGTTGGAGATTGTATCAAGATGTTGTTGGTTAGTTTTTGTTTTGTGTTTATGTTTGTGCTTTTGGTTGTGCTTTGGTTGGTTTTATGATAGATGATAGAGAGAGAGGAGTGGCTCCCTGTACCAAGGTTGCAGATCTTATCAATCGTATGAATGAATTCAATCATGGTTGCGTCCATAGGGAGTTTCAGAGTTCCACCGGTCCCAGATGCTTCGCAGGAGTTGGCTTGGTGTGGACGAGATAAGTATCCAGTTGAAGTTCAACATAAAAGGCAACTTTTCCCATTGTGCTGGTTACGCAGTCACAGTTTCAAAACGTAAAATCACCTGCCGCTGGTAATAGCTGAACCCAGCAGGACCGTTCGACGGTTTTCATGAAAACCGTCGGACGGTCCAGGGAATGGGTCCGCAGCGGCGAACTCAACAGCAAAGCACAGCGGATGGATACTCTTGCTCGTGTCTGTTTGTGCTCGGGATGCGACGATTAGAACTGTGAAAGAAAATCGAAGAAGTAACTGCGAAAGCAACGATCGTGGTCGCATTCTTCAAGTTTGTTGAAAAGGGTCTGGACACACCGAGGTCGTGAAGATCAAAGTATTCAACATGTCTCTGCTTGGGCAATTCTCTCACAAACCCCAAAAACGAAAACACGAAACAACGAAACAACAAATAACAAGATCCAACATGAAGCTTTCAACATTCTTCTTCTTTGCCCTTGCCACAAGCCAAGCAAGCGCTAGCCTCCTTCGACGCACCCAGCAATCCTGCCCAGTTGTACCACGAGGTACTGTCTGCCCTGCTTTGGAAGCGCCAGTGGAGTGCGGACAGGGTTACGGATGTTACTACAGCAATGACTGTTTGGCCCAAGCCGCTGGATACAATATCCACTACTGTCGTCAGTCTTGCCCTGTCCCTTCCCGAAACAGGTGCCCCACCCACCATGATCCAGTGTTGTGTGGCCCCGAGTTTGAATGCGAGTACGAGAATGAGTGCGTTGCCAATGCTGCTGGGTTTGTTGGTTGTCACCCGATCAATCCACCCTCCGAGTCTTGCGCTATCCCCACTCAAAACAGGTGCCCCACCCACCTGGATCCAGTGTTGTGCGGAAGCAACTACGATTGTGAGTACGAGAATGAATGTGTTGCCAATGCCGCTGGATTTGTTGGATGTATTCCTGCCTGGTGAACAAGCAAGCGTCTGCATGCATGGCTTGGCTGAGAGAAAAGCCACGGCCATGATACGTGGCTGACGTAACGGTAGAGAATAGTAACTGACTGACTACTTGTAAATAAGAAAGAAGTTAGAATGAAGGACTTTGTTTCTTGAAACCTACCAGCTTCTGTACATGAAAGGGTACCAGTGAGGTACTGGTGACTGGCAAGCGAGATAGGCAGACAATGAACTAGATAGTACATGCAAACACGCGAACGTCTTGGTTTCTTCGTCTGGATAAAAAGTTGGTTCGTGCGTTCGATGTGGCGGTAGAACCAAAAGCCCTGGAAGCGACCCTGCCTTCACAGGATAGGACAGGGGTTCCTTTGGGAGGTGCAATAACTATGTTCGTATGTTCCATCATAATACGAGCAAGCAATGGTTTTTTGGACGCTGGTGTCTCAGCACGAAATCTGCACACATCTTATCGTAGCACTGCAGGCATGATTTTGAAGCACCACCTCTTGAAAGCTCCATAAAGCTTTGCTCTCAGAATGGTACTCCGAGATCATGTGTATCCAAGTTTCAGCTACCTAAGTATCTTTGTGACTTGGATGGGAAAGAGTGGAGCAAGAAGCTCCCAAACAAGACTGTGGCTTTGGCACCTACCTGGCGATTGGTTAAGGTTTCCAGACAGTTAGTCTACTTTGACCATGACATTGCAACTCGTCCTTACTCGACCCCTCTTGTTTACGGCAGTTGCCGCAGTTGGGTTCTTATGCTTTGGCCGTGGAGCCAGAGCCGAAAAGACCATTGTGGTTTCCTGCGTGGGAGATTCCATCACGTCGCGGGGTTGTGCCTCAAAACCCAACATGACCTACGTGGCTCAGTTGGGTCGTATGTTGGGAAGTAGCTATCAAGTAACCAATTATGGAGTCTCTGGCACCACCATGCTCAAGAATGGATATTGCGGGAATGCGGACCTTCACTGTGGTGGCAACTGCACCTACTGGAAGACCAAAAAGTACGAGGAGGCCATGGAGTCTCAGCCCGACATTGTGACAATCATGCTGGGCACCAATGATGCCAAGGGATGCAACTGGTATGGACCTCCCAATGGAAATCCTTCGGGAGTGGAATATCACAAAGCATTTGTCGACATGGTCCACAAATTTCAAGCATTACCCTCCAAACCCAAGGTCTACCTGGTAACGCCACCTCCCTTGGTCAATCCACCAACTCATCCAGACGATCCCCCTCCTTATAACATGACCAAACAGGTATTGAATGAAATCATTCCAAAGGAGCAACTCCCAGCACTATTGAAGGAGACTGGGGCAACGGGAATCATTGATGTGTGGAATGCGTTGGGTGGGACCACTGCCTATTTTAATGCATCCATGACTTGCGATGGATGTCATCCCAAGGATCCTGCCATGACCATTATTGCTAGGACCATTGCCAACGCAATCTTGTCGTCGTCGTCGCCAGACGATCATCCCAGCCAGAAGAGCAACCAGCAGGAAATCGCCTCTTGAAAAAGTTCTCTCAACTCTCAAGGGCAAAGATATACATGTATATTGAGTTCGGTGCATGCATGCATGCATGCATTCATGCATTGTTGTGGATCAATAAACCCGACTACTCAATTTATAGATGCACATCACAAACTATCGCGCTTTGTTGGTCACAACGAATGCATTGTTGACCACAACCGTACAAATTTAGCTCGATGCATTGTACACGTTCCCAACTGCCACAATTCCATTGTTGCCAGTTTCCAACTCCTCTCTGCAATGGACCAAAGCTAACTAACTAACTAAAAAGGATTCATTGTAGATAGATTGCGATAGCTACCGGTAGACCATGGAACATGGAAAGAAACTATAGGCACAAATTCGCTCCAATACTTTGACTTTAGTAGAGCCATACTCCATCATTATCAGCACATTGCGATGCACTTGGCCTGTGGCCAGCCAACCTGCAACAACAGCATGTGGCTGGCTCTCTTGCTACTGTATTAGCAGACACAAGTTTTGCGGTGTGGGAGCGCCCTTCCCTCTTCAAGACAGAGGATCCTCCACAACCGTCGAATGAATGTATTCCAGCCTTACTGGCCAATTTATTGAGTTTGTTCCGCTTTAGGCTCTTCTCGATCTCGAACGGTGGCCACATGTCCAAGGTCCACTCGTTGAATAGCCCTACTGTCACCCCTCTAATCCTTTTCGACTGTACATCACCAATACTTAAAAAAGGAATCTCAACTTCCTTAGAGGTCTTGCCGAAGACCAGAAGGGAGATGATGTTGTTATATCTACAAGTTTCACTAGTCATGACTCAATAACAATAGACATGGTTGCCAACTTTGGCGAGATCTTTGGCACTAAATCTCTGGTGATCCTCCAAGAGTAACAGAGGATGACTCGGAGTTAAACAAAGACTCGACTGGATCATGTTTTGACAGTCAGTCATGTATCATTCCGTATTTTGGCCATCAAAGAGATGGCGTCTAATTCATATCTTGCTCAGAGTACTTAAAGCTTAATACTGAGTACTCCAACATTTTTGTTGAATAGCTGTGGATTTCTCGCTTTTAAATCTATGTGCTTCTCATGTGCTTCTAGTATTTTCCAGGGCATAACTCCTAAAATCTGTCGTGGCCATTGGAACGTCGCCAATAGGACCCGGTGGTTGACTCACGAAGCTCTTTTGCTCAGCGCCAAAGTAAGGTTGCATGCATCTCACAAAACTCAGAAAAGCAAGATCACCAAAGCAACTTGAGAAGGGAAGCGAAGCGATCAAAGCAAACTAGCAAGAAGGATTGGATTGACCGGAAGGAAGACCATTCTCACTGATGCGCCACTACAGTAAGACTGAATTCAGAACTGACTACGCTTTTACCATTCAAGCTATCCTACCAACACAATAAGATCAACACAACTCATACTACTACTACTACAATCACTCACTCAATGATGTGCCTTCAGGAACTTTGGAATGTGCGTCGCTTCGGCGGTGCTGCCAATGGAGCAGATCCTACTACCTGTACAAGCAGCAGCAAGAGAGGGCGCAAGGGCAGTCTTCATCTCAAGAGACTTCGTCGCTCCAACAACAAAAAGACGAGTTCTCTAGGAACTCTTTCCGATACGTTTGATGAAACGACTTGGAATCACGAACCGACAGAGACGCATCATCATCATCATCATCATGACACTACTACTACTACACATGCTACACACGCCACAACAAATACTAATACTACTAATACAGATGTCCATCTGTGCAAACTGCGCAAAAAGGAGATTGGCAGTGTCGATGCTAGCCGCAGTTACGCGTATTTGAGCAATCACGTGCGAGTCAATCAAGAACGCCAACAACGCGATATTCCTTTGCTCACAAGATGCAGTATCCTCGATGAAATGGCCCGTGGAAAAGCTGTGGAAATGGCACACGCCAATCAAATCCTGACACCCTATCGGAGTGATACGTTGGTGGAACACGTTCAAAAGACACTGTCACTGCAACTCTTGCATCAACTTACCATGCACGGAATTGACAATCCCGCTCGACAGTGTATACTCGATTCACGATTTGTCAAGTTTGGAATGGGAACTTGTCGGGGCGCGGATGGTTTGATTTATGTCAGTCAACTCTTTCAAGGGACCCCGCCTCCCAAAAAGACCACTCCATCACTTCCAAGTGCTACTACTAACAGTCCATCGGACGACTTTTCCCGCGTCTTTGTGGTCCCCACCGATGTCGTGACCAAGAATCCCGCCACCCGTAAAGTCCCCACCATTGATATTCGCGTCGATCCGGTATTACTCATGTCCAAACATTCCAAAAGTCGACGACAGCTATTGCTGCAACGACGAGCGCAGAGTGAAACTAGTTTGGGAAGCAGCAACAACAAGAAACGACGATATCCGTATACTACATTGTCCACCACCATTACGACACAAGCACAACCACAGCAACCTACTAGCTAGCTAGGTGTGGTACTGTACCAAATAGACAAGTATAACTATACTAAAAAAGGGGATTTCTAAAGATTTAGTGACAGAAACCAATCGACAGTAAATGTACACAGTATCTAGCTAGCTAGCTGGCTGGACCAAAAGAGCGCCATTAGGAGTGGACATTGCCAGGTGAGGGCTCAACCCAACCAATGGCGCAGTGCCTAGCTAGCTAGCTAGACAGACAGATTGGGAGAACATACCACTGCTGTCATCCAAAAAACAATGTGCATACATACATATTATTTGTTCCACTCTTCCTTCAGCCTGCCTTTTCCCCAACTGGACCGTCACTCTCTGCGTATGGTTTTCCAGAACGTACCGTACCTCGGAGATTCAACAAGTCTAAACGTTGGGTGCAATGACAACTTCGCTTTCTTTTAATCCTGGACCCAGCCACAGGATACCAATAAAGTTCACGTACTATGGCGTGCATGTAGCTAGTAGGATCGGTACTGTATGGAATATGGAAAAGGAACCATTCGATCCAATCCAATGGTTCATGCAATCCGCTCATGCTGCCTCGCCAATTTGGCTTGACAAATAAGAACATGCATCTGCACTGCATGCAGCAGTGCAGATCACCTTCTCTTATCAGGCCTCCACGAGGATGGCTGGAATTCCTTTCCTCCCTATCTAGCTGCTATTGTCACGCACATAGCTAGACTTTGAAATATGCTGCCCAGCACAGACTGTCTTGCTCCATTCTCAGTTGGCTGATGCACAAAGAAAGCATATTATTATGTTCAAGAGAAGAAAACTTATGGAAGGTTTCTTTAGCTAGTATGCACTCATCTTCTGCGCCGTACTTAGTTTCAATTGATACCAGTAGTACTACTGTACACCAGCCATCACGTCGAAAGTGCATCTGGAGTGTTGGAACAATGTGTAGCCAGTGGAATGAATGATTGAATTCAAGCATCCAACCTTCCAAACATGGTGGGAACAGTTGCACCTCTTCGGTACGGTAGGTACTACCGTATGATACTAGTACTAACCAGAGCCCGTGTGGGTGGAATGGGATTCCTGCGGATCATGGTGAAATCCTCAAGGACGGCTGCAAATGCCCACAGTGCAACATACTGTTTGTGTCCCATTCCTCTGCCCTGAACAAGGGTCGCCTGGATATATTATTGCAAAACCATGGCAATGCCTTTTCAAAACGAAGGTGACGGCTTCTGCCTGTCAGTTGTCGTGACGGTCACTTGTGATTTCGCAATGGAACGGTTGATGGTACCTGGAAGTCCCCCGATTGGCGATCGCGGAACTCGCGAAAAGTCGTCAAAGTCGCGAAAGTGGTTAAAGTCGGCAGTCGTTCTAAGTCGCGTAAAAACGCGCAAAACGCACAAGTCGCGATTCAAGTCGCTCCAAGTCGCGATTTTGTACTAATAAACAGCTATTAAGGTCGCACTAAGTCGCGCAAATCGCGAAAGTCGCGCTGCAAGTCGCACTGGTCGCTCTCAAGTCGCGATAATTAAAAATCGCGACTTAAAACCGCGACTAGCGCGACTACGGTCAAAGTCGCGATATTGACGTCATCGGCGGACTTCCTCCTGGAAGGTCCGCCGTCAGCCATGTTTTAGCGATTAAGCCAGCCAGTCTACAATCTGTTGAACTCGCGTCTCGCGGACTCGCGATTGGACTCGTGACATCTCGTGCGACTCGCGAGTCTCGCGATGGAAAGTCGCGCACGCGTTCCAAAACTCGCGACGGACTTCCTTCTTTTCATACCAAAACTCGCGGGACTCGCGGTGGTCTCGCGACTCTCGTCGCGCAACTCGTGTTTTCGACTCGTTGTTTCGCGGGAGACTCGCTTTTCCGCGAGTTGCGCGAGAGTCGCGAGACTGTGGTTTATTTGGCTTTTGGAATCGCTAAAGTGACGTCACGGCGGGCCTTCCTGGTGCGCTGGTACCTGGTACGAGCGCCAAGTGTCACTATTAATAGTACATGTATCCATTAAAGCTTTCCAAGGAAATTATTTATGTTGTTAAGGCTTCCTGTACCTGTTGAGAGTGACTCAGTCCCTCCACTGTCCACAAGAACTGCACAGACCCAAGTCGACATCAACCAAGTCAACAGCCATCAAAATCACCATTGAAGAGCTGCTTCAGCTCCTTGTTGATACTACTTGGATCGTCTTACATGTACAAGTAGTCGGGTGTGATCGGCGATAAGATGGCAGAATGGGGCTACAAATTATTGAGTGATGCCCAGTATATCCCATTGGTTGTAGTGGGGAGCATCTCCAGTACCTTGTCCTTGGTCGGATCAGGCTGTATTTTATTCATGTCGTATCGCCAGCGGTCCAAGGTTCTTCATCGGTTGCTCTTTGCTCTCAGTTTGGCTGACATGGCACAATCCTCAGCCAACTTATTCATGCCATATGCAATACCTTCCTCCATTGGTCTGCCAGGGGCTGTTGGCAATCATGTCACATGCACTGCTGCGGGTGAGTATTCTATACAGTATAACGATTAGAGTAGGTGGATTCTATACAGTATACCTCATACCGTATACCCCACCCCACGGTGCCTTACCTTCTCCCTCCAACTTGAATTTCTGTCAACTTTTCCAGGTTTCTTTGTCATGTTTGGGCTCCAATGGGGTGGCTGCCTGAATGCACTCATCAGCTTGTACTTTTATTTATCGGTTGTGCGAAGCTGGAGAGAACATGACTTTACCCGACGGATAAGAATGGAAATTGCCACGCATGTGTTTGTGTTTCTCTTGGCGTTTGGCTTGAACTTTTTCCCTGCTGTCTATCAAATGATCAATCCCTACGAATACATCAACAATCTATGCATCCTTTCCTCCTTCCCGTGGAATTGTGGTACGGAGGAAGGTCAACTACCCTGTGAACGATCTTCCCAAGAGGAACTGGACAAGTACACTCAAGCCCATTTTCTCGTAGTTGTCATCTTTACCATTATTGCTTTTGCATGTACCTGTCGAGTCTGGTATCATGTCCACAGCATACGCAAGCGGAGCGCTTCCTACACGTCTTTTGGTAGTCTGCCAGCATCCTCCGACAATAGTATTCCAGCATCATCCCATGGCACTACTTTATCCAACCACAAGAAGAGCAGCAGTCCTGCGCCAGACCCCATCCTCCGTCAAGTTTGCACACAAGCCATTCTCTATTTCCTGGTGTATTTCAACACGTTTATATGGCCCTTTATAGGGCAGATCTTGGTAAACTCATTGCTCACAGCTGCTGAAGTGCAGGAGAAGAAAACAGAACCTGGGTGGTACGCTCTTCAGTTTCTGTTCTGGACTCTAAATCCACTTGGAGGATTTTTCAACTTTTTTGTCTACACCAGACTTAGAGTTCAGCAACTGAGAAGGTTGGATCCAGAACGCTCCCTCTATTCCGTTTATCGAGAAGTCATCTTTTCCAACTACGTCTCTCAAAGGAGTAGTCGAAGAAACAGCAAGAATGCCACCACTCCCCTCAATGAAGCGCCTCAGCAACCCACGGCAGCAATCCACATCCATCATGTCATGGAGCATTCTTCCAGTTTTGCCAGCTTTGCCGAAGCAAAAGAAGAAGAAGCAGGGGTTCAAGGGGACAATTATTGTGGTGCTGCTGGGAGTGCACTCGCAATGCCTCGGCTCTCTACGGAAAGTCACAGCAATCATCATTCTGCCAATCGCCCAAGTTGTGCTAGCTTTGAAGCTGTTCAAGAGGAACCAAACGGGGAAGATGGGGACACTACTACTGCTACTCCTTCAACCGAAGGAATCCACACCAACGGCAATGCTGTCCGCCAAACAAGGAGTGATACTTTTGAGAATGAAGATGGAGGGACAAGAGTGGAAGCAGGGGAAGATGGAAACAAGAGGGGTGACAACGATGACAGCCAAATGCCGCAACCTTCAGACGGAGCAATCAGCAAGGATTTGACAGACCCTTCCAGTATTGCGCGCCTTCAAAACAAGGAGGACGGAAAAGAAGAGGAAAGAGGGGACGATGTCGGCTTGAACTCGATCTCAGAAACGCATGTCCCCTCTGGAGAAATCCCCGACAATAGTCACGCTGCCAATCTTCCAGGTATTTCTGGTTTTGTGGCAGGCGAAAACGTGCAACAACACAAGGAAAGGCTGGAACATGCCAGCAGTGGCGACAATCCATAGCGGATGGTTTGTGTGAGCTGGGTATAAAGCTCATTGCAATTTCACTTTCTTGTCATGGTTTTATCAAACTGGATTGAGGCAGTCCGAGGGTGATCCGTACTTTCTTGGCCTATGCCGTTTTCTGGCTTGGGAGGGCGAGCTTCGGGTATGATCAATGGCGATTGCATGTATCGTCAATATCACGAGGGAGCTTCTTCTTCGGAAGCGCTGCCGTGCGAAGTTTCGTAGGAACGAGAGGATTTGTTGGAGCGTGACGGGAAGGCTCCCTTGCCTGCATTGAGTGCCAATCAAGAGCTTGCTCGTCCTCGAAATGACTCGAATGGCACTGAGGTCCGCGGGAAAGTTATGTTTGTATGTAGGGACGGAAACCACCACGGCATTGCCTCGTTGCTCCCAAGGCGGTGACTGGCACACCTAAGTTGTAAAATGGATCAAATCAGACCCTGGGTGATGATTCGGCCGTCCGGAATGCCTCTGCGGACCGACCTATGGCTTCAAATGTGCTTCGTCATTCGGATGTTGGGCTTCAAGCTAGGCAGCGTACGCTGTAAACGTGGACCAATACCTTCAAATATGTTTCGTCGTTCTGGTGTTGAGCTTCAAGCTAGGCATCGTAAAGACGAACTTGCCGTGCCAACCAGATGAGAAATCCATCTTGATCATTCTTAAAGTAGCCATCTCGTGTAAACGGCGTTGCGCGATCGGACTCGACTCCCGCGGCAACAGAGCATGTGCGTCTTCGTTACCCAGCGGTTTGTATCGTCTTTTTATTTGCGTCTGCAGCAGTTGCATTGCACTGGCAGCGTCTTGCTGCAAACGTTCTGGACAAACAAAAGCTAAGGTTGGTACGGCACATTCCTCCAATAAAGAAGCAGCAAACTGGCAAGCAAGCTACATGGAGCTTGGATTGAACTCTCAGTCCAGTAGTATGGAGAAGTGCAGTACCTTGCATGTGTGAGAGAAAACGTGGTTTGACATATTTTTAAATGCCATTGGCAATTTTCAATCATTGTTCCAAACAAGAGCAGCCACAACCACAAAGCAAGCCATTGCAGTCAAAGTAAAGCCCATATGGTCCCCTACACTGCAGCCACCTGATACTGGTGCACGTGCCATTCATGTTACAAACATCCTGTGGGATAGTTCCAGACAACTCAGGGTTGCCCTCCAAATTGAGAGTGTGGAGTACTTGTTGCAGATCTGACATTTCTTGAGGCACAGCTCCAGAAAGCGAATTGTTTGCCAAGATGAGGCTCCCGATGGATGCTAGCTGAGCAAATTCACTTGGGATGCTGCCTGTGAGTTTATTGTTGGATAAAAGCATCACCTTCAAACTGGGTAAGAGCCCAAGCTCAGAAGGAATGGTTCCTGTTAATAGATTGTTGCTGAGGTCAACTTTTGCTGAGAGATCCGTAAGAAGCGCCAACTCACTGGGGAGTGCGCCGCTGAATCTGTTGACATCAAAAGCTAGCAAGAACAGGTCCGTCAATCTTCCCAAAGAAGCAGGGATTGTCCCATAGAGACCATTGATGGACAATGTCAGTACCTGCATTTTTGTGAGTAGTGTCACTTCATTGGGTAGAGTTCCAGTCAGACTGTTCATGGATGAGGCAAGCCATTCCAACTTCGTTGCTTTACCAATCTCCGAAGGGATTGTTCCTGTTGCAGAATATGGGGAATGAGAATGGCAGAAGCAGTTGCAATAACAAACCTTCGATCTATGAGCGCATACGTACCATGGAGATCACAAGCGTCCAAACCAAGCCACCTCATTTGATGGAAATTGCCAATCTCAGTTGCAAGCGTGCCTTGCAGCTGGCGGTTGCCACTCAAGAGCAGAGTGTCGAGCTCAGAAAGCTTCCACAGCTCACTGGGAAGAGTCCCATCATGACTATTGCTTAAAAGGACGAGTGCTTTTAGCTTGGTCAAGAGACCAATTTCCGATGGGATTTGACCAGATTCCACCATTCGGTTGAGAAAGAGTCCTTGCATACTACCAAGCTGACCAATGTGACTGGAGATTGATCCCTGCAATCGATTGTTGGAAAGGGACATTGTCTGCAGGTTTGTAAGTAGATAGAGTTCCATAGGAAGAGATCCTGCAAGGTTGTTCTCGTCCAACCAAAGATGCTGATAAAGACCATCATCCCCACAGATTGCTGGTTGTTCATCTCCAGGGAAGAAACCTTGTAGGAATCCCTCGCCAAGAAACGTTCGCCAAGTTGAAACCCCTGCAAATTCCGGCTTGTTGAACCAGTCACACTCGTTGACACTATGGTTGAGCCAGTTGGTGTGATCAATCCAAGCCTCGCCAGCAGTGGCAAAGAATAGAGTAGCAAGGGCAAACTTTTGAAGGATCCTTTCGGAAGAAAGAGATAGTCGTAACTCATGGCCCTCCTGCATGAGCCAATCCAATGCTTCTGACTGGGGCGACTCTGCATCCTCCGTGATTGTGACTATGGTCTCCATGGGGAGTAGTGATAGAATGGAATCCATCAATGTTGTGGGTGCCTCGGATGGGCTCGCACTGGGAGTTTTGGTGGGAGCCCTGCTAGATTCGTCCTTGTTGTTGGGGACTAGAACAGTCAGCACTATAAGAACACATGCCACAATGAGAATGACTCCAACAAAGATTTTTGTTTTGAATTTCTTGGATTCTTGCTCCCTTTCCCTGCCCATCTGTTGTGGCCTGGCGGTGGGCAAATTGTCACGGTCTTCTTCTGTAACCAAGTTTGCCACCGCCAAGCCTTCAATTTCTGGCGGTGGAGCCGTTTCCGCTTCATCCGAGTCCTGTCGTCGTGGTGCACGGAAACGGTGGAAATTGGGGGCACCTACTACCCCATAGGCTCCAGGTTGAGCTAAATCTGAGTTATTTCTCCTCGACGTGGTGGGAAGAGGCATGGGAGTGAACCTGTAAATCTCACTCATGGGATCGATCATGGCACTATCAGTATTGGGCACAAGCTTGTCCCCGGCCTCCTGCTTCGTGTGGCCACTCGCCATTGCCTCCTCATGAAGCAGGCTTTCCTGTTTCGCCTCCGTCGGCTCTGGTGGAGCACGTTCGAGCTGCTCCCCACCTGTCGACAGACCATCGTGACTTCTTCCTTCCCTTGACTTTACAGGCAGGTTCATGGCTTGGGTGGCTTTTGCTATTATTATCCAGTAGACTTTGTATCTCAATTTTTAATTGAAGATCTGTTGGAGGTTGGAGAGAAATGGGAAATGGGAGTTGGGAGCATCGATCCGTACAGACTGTGAGCGCACAGCGATCTCCTTTTGTTGGTTGTATGGGGAAAGTTACTATGGGTTAGAGAGAGCTAAGATGAGGATGGGGACATCTTTTGTTGGTTTGGGTGAAGGGTGCTGATTGTGGTGAACGAAACGGAGCAGGGAGCAGCGGTAAGCCGAATGGTACGGTAGGAAACACAGCTTCAACCGTAGCGATAGAGGTCTTCTTTTTGAACTCAATGGTCAGTTCATTTATTTAATTCAATTCAGGTGAAGAACAGGGTGGAAGTCTTCATTTTAATTATTATTTAGTGCTCTTGTATCCAAGTGAAAAGCACTCCATGATTACTGGTAATCTAGTACGTGAAGTGAGGATTACATGTAGTGTTCTGTGGGAATGGCTTAAAAGCCCGCACTAACGGTAAGTTTACCATGTAGGAAGCTTTCTACCTACCGGTAGCTCTACCTACAGTTGAATAAATGAATGAAACTTACAAACTTAGTAGTAGTGTAGTAGACTACTCCAGTACTGGTATGTTTTATGATACCGGTACCAGTACCGGTACTCCAGCTACTACTCGAGCACTCCAGTATCGAGTGCTCCGAGTACATGCATGATGTATGTGTTTATGCAACCACTGGGTACGGTGGGACTGTAGAATGGACAGTCCTGTATAAAGTATAAAGTCAGGCTTACCAGTGTTCCTGAGTGTTCTACCACGTACAACTGTACATTTACTCCAAGGAATCACTATCGCCATGACTCTAAGCAGAGCAATGTGGAAGCACACTTGCTCCTGCCTGGACTGGTACGTCACCGTAGATAGGGTTAGGGTTATCAGGAGAACAGTCGCAGCAGGAGCCAATCCAAGCCACATTGCTAGCAGCCACCAATCGATCGAAGAGGACAATGGTGTCCTTTTCTTTTTTTCGAACGGCTACGGCTACTAGCTACGTTCTGCCATTGCTATGGCTACTACGGCTACTATCAGCCGGTCACAGCCATGCTGTTCCGGTCTCTGGAGCCTTGTTATTTGTTGAACGATCGGTTCTTTTGTCGTCGTTGTGCTTTACGCCCGATGACTGATGACCGATGGCCATGATGCTTTTGCTAGCCTCCGGCTTTGATGAGTTCACCGCCTGGTGATTCTCTAGCCACACCGCCATAATGAGTTCACCAACTGGTGCTTCTCTAGCACCGCCAACTGGCATCTTGAGCAACACCAACTGGTGCTTTGTCTCCCATCTTGAGCGACACCAACTGGTGCTTCCCTCCCCTCTTGAGCGACACCAACTGGTGCTTCACTCCCCTTGAGCGACACCAGCTGGTGCTTCGTCTCCTCCTCCTCGGCCAACTGGCCTTGGAGTGCCGCTGTTGTTGCCGTGCGTCCCGACTTCAGGGCCATGGTCGATCTTCGCGATTTTCGCGATTTTCATCAACAACACCAGATCGGCCCCTAAGTCTTCGACTGATTGGCCCCTAAGCCTTGCTCTCTTGGCAAGATTGGTGTCCCTTATTTCTTCGAACTAGTGACTGGGTCGTTATCCCCGCTTTAAAAATCCGTCAGTCGCCGATGACGTCAGTCGTGACCGGATTTTGGCGAGTGACGTCAGTCGCCGATGACGTCAGTCGTGACCGGATTTTGGTGACGTGTTTTCATCCGTGCTTTGAAAACTTTTAAGTCGATGCATGAAAAGTCTTTGCGCGAAGACGAGGCTTGAAAAGGACCTGGGTGCTTCTAAGTCTTTGACTTTGCCCTCTAAGTCTTTGTCCCCGTCCCTTAAGTCTTTCAACCACCGATGACTTGGTGCGCCTCGAGACTTTTGTCTGGTCACCGCCACTGACTGTTTAGTGCTACACCACCCACTACCACTGACTGTTCAGTGCTACACCACACAATACCAAGCCACACCACACCCTTGCATGGATATCCTGACAGCATGGTACCTGACCAGGCACCTGTGTCAGAGATTGAGGTTGACTCATTGCAATGGATCCCCAGTTCAAAAGCTACCTGGCTGGTAGCCTTTTGTATCCTTGGATTGGGTTCAAGCCCTGTGCAATCCTACAGCAACAGTACAAGCCTGAGCTACTGTGGTGGTGGCCCTGGTTCCTCCCATTCCAGGCTATGCAGTGCAACACTATGAGGTCATAATCCCAATCCTGAAAGCTTCCACACAAGCCTTCCCTGATTTGGACCACTGCATCCTGCCTCTTGTTGCCTTCCAGTTGCCTGCCTCCCAGTTGTTGCCTCCCTTCCAGTTGCTTTCCTGCTGTTGTGAGTCCTTGCTTTTTCCAGCTCCAGCCCCAGTTCTGTTTGCCTGGTTGCTTTTGCTGCTTGCGTCCTGCCTTTTAATCCAGTTTCCTGACTTTGTTGCGCTCCCAAAAGCATTG